ATGTATGTATGTATATATATATATATATACATACATACATGTATGTATATATACATACATGTATGTATATATACATACATGTATATGATAAAAAGGCAGGCCTTAGATCCAGCTAGAGTATTATTTAAAAGTTAGGGAAAAATGCACCATCTTCTCACTTTTGGCAGAACTTGACTAGTATACTTTGCTGTAAAGTAATTAATACTTGTGCTGACATGATACGAAGAATAGAGCATCTAGTACAATTAATATGGAAACCATATTAATGCCATTTGTGTTCCAAACAGGGAGGGCAAGAAAGTCTATGCTTGGACTGTCGATGACGCTGGGTCCATGCAAAGAATGCTGTTTGAGCATGTTGACGCCATCATCACGAGCAATCCGTCCCTCCTTCAGGGCATCATGCAGGACATGAAAACAGAATGTCTACAGGGTGGGTTTCCTTGACAGTAAACTATCTATCTCCCAGATTATAAGGTTACTCCACAGGATTCATACTTATTCTGCTAGCCTTGTTCTTGTTCACTATTTAAAATATGGAAAGAATGACTGGGTTGTGTTAGATCATCTATTCTTAAAGCTATTTTCAGCTTTACCTTCTTTCAAACTTCACTCAATTTCTCTATAGATTTTTTCATAGATAGCTCGTTGTTCCTTTTGGGTTACCCTATTTATTGGAAATTTGGAAAACATTAGCTTCCTTAATCCATAGCTTATTTTTCACACTGCAGTTATAATCTTCAATTTCTATCGCCTATATTACTGCTACATGATGGGAGAACTTAAGAGGATAAGTCAACGAATTATGGCTGTTCATTGAATGTGCTGCTGTTTGTGTGCTTCCATTGATATAGCATAAGACAAACGCAATGTATACCCAACCATAGCAACCAAAATATGGTATTTATACTAATATTGATGGGCTTTGGGCCGACCTCTCCTTGGCCCATTACCAGCCCCATGATACTTCTGTAATCATAAAGTAACCGCGCATCCACCGTTCATTTTCTCGGGACATCAACTAATATAAGGCTGATTGGTTACTGTCGCATGAAATTTATTGTGCGGAACCGTGTGTTTTAGAATCTTTCGTATGCACAAGACGGCGTGATAGTGAACTCTTCTCTCAAAAACGTTTCTGTACCCTCTTGTCCGACTCTTCCGGATACCTTCCTAATGATTGGGACATGGGGTATGAAGCCATCATGGTGCCTTTATGTTCGTCACTTACAAAGCAGGTAGAAAAGTGGGTAAAGCTTGAAGGATGGTCAGGTATATTATATTATGTGCTACTCGGTGCCCTCTCTATTTCAATCCCTTTCGCCTCTCGCCGATTTCCAATTTCCCTTTCCTTCGACCCCCCCGGCTCTGTTGCTCGTTGTGGTTGGATCGGATTCCCCCGGCGGGCGACGATGGCGGAACCGGAGGGACGACCGATGGTTGCGGCGGCAGCGGGGAGGCCGGGGCGGCAGGCGCCGCAACAGCAGCAGGCGGGTCTCGGGCAGTCGTTGACGGGGATCGTGCGGATGGCTGTGTTATGGTACTTCGCCATGAAGTTCTTCGGTCCCAAGAAGCCCGCAGAGACCTCCCAGCTCATGTCTAATCTATTCCACAAGGGCGAGCCCTTGGTCCGTCTCTTCGCTCTCCCAAACCCTAGTTATTTTAATCTTTTTATTCGAGATTTGATCCTGTGATCGGATCCTTATACATAAGAATGAAACGATCATCTTTTTGGCTGAACATGTGATGGTGTGATGATATACGGGCAGGCTTAGCGAGAAACGTTAAACCTTGGAGTAATTCAAGATCCACGGCTTTTCCAAAATAAGATATTTTCTGGTTCGATGTATGAGTTTTTGTTCGATGAAGAGCATGGACTTGGAATACAAACCATCATTCTTTAAATTTTCTTGTTGAGGACATACATAGTGACTGAAGTTTATTCAGTTCTAGTAACCAATTTGCCTGATGTTATGATCTACTTGTATTTGTTACATATGTTTTATTTTTCTGATTTCTTCTTTTTATGACTTTTTTGTTGCCTATTATTTAGTGGTAAATTTGCCTTTTCATTGTTTACAAATTTTTGCCGAGTTCTCTTAGGGCCACAGATAAGAAAAGATACTTAGGATTGATTGGCATTGGTCATTTTGATACATGATGGATAACTAGTTTAGATGAATACCTGTAAGTTTTAACTTGTGATTGTACAAAAGACTATTCAAAGGCCATATCGGACTAGTATGTTATTTCGTGGTAATTGGCATTGCATGTTGATGTTTTGGAAGGTAAGCTATTATGCCTATGCAGTTGATAGCCTTCTCTTTTCTTTCTTTATGGAGCTTGTTTTTGCTAAACCAGTTGCTCCCACTAGGCTTTGGCTATCCCATGATTTGTTTGACTTCATGAAGATCCAGATCTAAGAACTTGTGAAATCATATTGGGGGGTGTTTCCATGGTTGGATGCAATGACTATAGGGGAAGCCTTGTCAAAGGGGGATTGTTGAGTTTGAGGCTTTATTGTTCTTTCACCAGGTTTGTTCTTACAACTCGTGGACCCTTGAGCATTCAGATCTTATGATAATCAGGATTTTGATTACATTGATCGAGACTTGTGACATCTGCCGATGCTTGTGGTTGCAGTCCTTTGAAGTGTTCATATTCACTATAAGGTTTCAAATTGAAGTCTACAATAAGAAGGTTACTTTTGTTGCTTACAAAACAACAAATTGGAGCTCCTAACTCAAATGTGTTGTACAATTAGTTTCTTGGGCAACCCAACTAGTTGCATTTAATAAGTTGAACTTATATGTATGTAATTCAATGAGAAATGAACTTATGGTAGTTCTTGCTTTGTACGAGCTATATGTTGTTCATCAGTTAATTTAACTCATGAAAATTCGTTTTGAATAAGTACTTTAAAAACATCAGTAGAGAAATGCAAACTTTCACCATAGATTGGTACACAATTTCACGTCAGATGATGTTCAAATACTGAACACTGCAAGGTTTCAGAAATTCGTAGGAGACTTGTGGAGAAATATAATTGTGATAAGGAACCTATGGTACTTATATGTCAAGTGCATGACTAAAATATCAGAAGATAAGTCTTCAAAAAGGTTATTATATTATTATAAATCCACTTTAACAAGTTTGATGAGTTATAATTTTTTCATACATATGCAACACATGAATACACATTTACATGTGGATGTGTACTGCAACAGGATTTTTTATGGTGTGTCCACATTCCACTAACACTCTTCCAATCAATATTCCTATTAAGAGTATGAGAAAAGGATATTGTACAAGCTTATCATTTTTTGTGTTTTGGATTTTTTTTGTGCTGTTGTTGTGCTTTATTGTCATAATGAACTCTTCTATATAATTTTATGGTGCATGATCATATTTCTTTTGTTACTTTTCTAATGGCCAGGATATGTGGCTTTATCTTTCCGAGAAGGAGAAGTTTAAGGACTTCGGTGATGAGGATGCCCTTGTTTGGCATGAGACAAATATTCCTTATGCAGTTTGGGAACAGAGTAGTACTAGATCCTTATCCTTGAAGTATTATCCATCAGAGGTAACCATATCGATTTTGTATATATGGACCTTAGTTTTTGGTTCATATCTCATTGAGCATACAACGGTATCATGTAACTTGTAGGCTGTAAAACACAATGGAAGCCTGTATGCTCATGTTTTCTTTGCTCGCTCGGGTTACCCTCCTGATCCTAATGATCCTGAATATGAACCATTATCTGCCTTTAGTAGGACCCATTGTGAGTATTTCAGTTTCTATGGCTTTTTTTTAGGTTAATTGGGTAATGGTCCGTATTGAGCTTACATATTTTTATTTTGTTCAGCCGTTGTTGCCTTCTTGCCCAAGTCAAAATCTGGCAAAAAGAAGAGCTTGCTAGGCAGTTCCAAGGATTCTGAAGGGGAAGAATCAGTTGCTGAGGTTATGCTTATCTCTTAGTTTCATTTGCAATTTAGGTTTTACATACATGAAAACTGATCTCTTAAAAGTTAGCTGTTAGATGACTTTTTAGTAATAAATTGATTTCTTTTCTTTTATTTTCTTTTCTGGTCTTCTTGATCCTCTTTTGGTTGTGGAAAATGGGACTGCCTTTTTACCTTTCTTCTCATATTTCCTTGGTTTGACAAACTTTTATGTGGTTCCTACAGTTGAAGGATGATTCTCAAGTTGAAGCCAAAGATGTGGGTCCTGTAGAATGGATTTCATACTGGAAACCAAATATCACTATTAACCTTGTTGATGATTTCACAAGGTACTTCCCAACCTGCTCCCCACAACAAAAAAAAAGAAAAATAAAAAAAAAGGAATCAACAACAACAACACTTATTTGATAATATTTGAGCCGATTGACTAGAATGTGATGTGGTATAATTGTTTCTAATACATATTGCAGATGTAATTTTTTTTACATTTCAGATTAGGCATCCAACTTGTGACCCCTTATATGATGGAAGGATATCTCTTAGCTGACTCAAATCTTGATCAATTGATGAGTCTGATTTAGTTCCTTTATTATTTTCTTGTGCTGCCATATCTGGTACATGTGATGTTCATGTCCACATCTACCTTTGAACTAAATCAATCCTGTTTTCATCGTACATTATATTGGTATCATATAAGGGGTCACAAGTTTGATCCTGCAGTATGTTTGATAAAAAATTACATGTAACTTGCTAAAAAGGATTGTGAATAGATTGTTCAGATTTATTTGTGGCTGGCATATGTTGAGAACCAGAACATGCATAACATTTATTTATTTATTGTAAACCATTCTAATTTTCTCTTGTTTTGTTTAACTGCAGATACCCTCATAACAATGTTCCTCCAAATATCGCTGGCTGTATCCTGTGTTTCATACATTAATTGCATGCTTGAATTGAGTCTATAGTGGATTTACTATCTTTTGGTAGTTGTAACTGTAAATTGAATTTTCCACTGTCCAAGATTTGTTTTGCTTCATTTTGTTGTAACACCCTTGCATTATTATAAGTTGTGGCATAGTTCATTAGCCAGTGTTGGTAATTCTTGTTGCTAATTTTTGACGTTTATTAAGGAACTTGTTTCTCCCAAGTCTAGCTCATCCCTGGATATTGAAGGGGTGAAATTTGTGGGATAAAACATGGAGGAGAAGGGCAGAGGGAGATGTGCAAGCAAGGAGGGCTGGAGATGGCCAGGGTTACAGTTAATATTTGGATGCAGGACTTTATGATATCCTAGAAAAAATTGACCCGAACTGATTGGTGGGAAAGATCTGTCATGTCTATATGGGCTTGGGGCAGGTTCTCATAGGTTCAGGACTCTGCCACCTCTATGATTGGCAGGGGGGTTCTCAAGCTCTTCATAATGGCACATAGCTCTTGTCAATCGCCTATTTTGTCCTACTCATTACCTTATGTAGCTTTATCAAAATCTTTTCAAATTTGCATGTTGTGAATCATTTAAATTTATGTTTTATGGAGTTTATCGATATAGTTTTCTTTTACATTGTCCGGATGTTGAACTTGATCATTTTCCACCTTCTATTTCAAGATAATAATTTTGTTCTCTTTTGTAAAATAATGCTTTGAGTTGTTCTCTGCTTGTTTGGATATTGACATTGTAAAATGCTTAAGTTGGGATTGCTTATTTATATAACATGATCACTCTAAATGGTAATAACATTGAATACCTTGACCCCAGATGGCAGATTTAAACATAGAGCCAACCACAGCGAACTACTTCCCTACAATTTTCTTTAATGAATTTTGGCTCTTAAGGGACAAGCTAATATCACTCAATGAGACCGTGGCAGAATTGCCTCTTAATCTGGAGTTAGGTCCCATTAGCTTGACTAAGTGGCAATTGTTTTTACAGATTGAGCAGTCTTTTCAGATCCATCGTAGTTATGGAAGCATGCTCGAAGGCGAGGCTGACGAACTTAAGGTATACTGAAATGACAGTAGTAAGTTTTGCTGTCAAATTGCTGAGCTTTTCTATGCATTGAAGCTACACAATAGTTTATTTCAATTTTCAAGAACTTATTATTTTGGTATATAACTTTTGATCCAGTATGTTCATCCTTTTTATTTTCTTTTTTTAGATAATGTATTTTGATCTATGGATAAATCTGATTGCATTGATGTTTTATTAATTACAAGACAAAAGTAGATCTTTCCCTACCATTGAGATCGAGGCTTAATGATTTGTTAATTATCTGGAAATAATCTACTTTATCTTGCAAATCTGAATGCAATATATTTTTGGATAAATTAAGTCTTGTTGAAATGCCATTGCTTTAACAAATCCATTAATGTACTTGAAATACTTTACCATTCATCTTGAAGTAAAGGTATTCGGTTTGCATTTCAACTAGTTAAAGGTTAATGCTGAAAGAGGCAGAAAACAGTTGTTTTAATACTAAAGTTTTAGACCAGATATCGTATTGGTGAAATGTTATTGGGTCAGCTGTAAGATCTCAAGAAAAGTACAGGATTAGGTAAGTATCATTCTTTGAACTTTAGAGATACTATGTTGTCGTAGTTCAGTTGGTAGGCAAAAGTATCGGTCATATTGTTTAGATGACTATACCTACTTTTGTAATCAGTATATTCTGATGTATTATATTTTGTTTTGTTCATTTAATTCTAGATATCTCTCTGGATTTTATTTGTTGATAATTTTATGCATCCATTCTGGTAGTGTCTCTCATCTTTCGAAGACTAATTTGATCTTTCTGTCTGCTTTTAATGACTAATTTGATCTTTCTGACAGAGGGTATTCTTGGAAGGAAACCCATATCTACTGGGGGTGACTATGGTTGTATCTCTACTACATTCTGTGTTTGATTTTTTGGCTTTCAAGAATGGTATGTCAACATGACAACTTTGAAGATATTACAAAGTACTGATAAACCACTGTTATGCTTACTGCCAAAATAAAGGATCAAAACTATAAGATTATATTTATTTTTTGCAGATATTCAATTTTGGAATAAAAACAAATCTATGGAAGGACTGTCTGCAAAATCAGTTGTTGTGAATTTCATATGTCAGCTGATTGTTTTCCTTTACCTCCTGGATAATGAAACCTCTTGGATGATACTAGCTAGTTCTGGAATTGGGTGCTGCATTGAGTTTTGGAAAATTGGGAAAGCCATGCACATTGTGGTAAGCTCCATCTTTTACTCTTGTTCCCTGATAATTGCATAGTACATACAATGCGCAGAATAACCTAAGAAATACCTTGATAAAACTTTGTTTGTTCAATGTATGAGGTGTTTGTTGACCACACCAAATTTTCAGAGATAGGACCTGAGTTCCATGGATGTTGCATAAACTCCAACTCACCCACTTCACAAACTCCATGATTTAGAAGTTCCATAGGATTTGTGACTTGTACTATTCAGGAAAATCATGCTTTGGTAGGAACCAAATATATCACTTTTACAATTTCAAAACCTTTCTACTCTGTGTGCGAGTTGTTGAAAGCAAATAAAACAAAAAAGTGTAGATCAGATAAAAGATTTATTTGTACTTTTCATTTTTTTTAGATAATCCTAGTCAGTGATTTAAATAGGCGCTCGGGCGAGGCGAGGCCCGAGCACCTCGTGTGTGCACCAGGCGACGCGCTTCAATGAGGCATCGCTTGGGCGTTTGCGTTGGGCGCTTCAGGTGAGCGCCTGACTCTATTAGGCGAACCGAACCAGTTTAAGGTTGGTTCGGTTCGTAGTTTCTTACCTCAAAACCATGCTTCATGCCTACGCGA